CGACAGGAAGTCCTTATGAGGTCCTACTTTGTGCTCCCCCCCCCCACCAGGACTGGGTTTCTAATAAGAAGCAAAAGCCAGGCCCTGCCCTGAAGGAGCTCACAATGACAGCCCTGGTAAATGCACACAAACCAAGTACAGACGGGACAAGGGGGAAGAAGGAACAGAGGCAAGGCTGTGGAATGAAGAGGGAACAGAGAAGGCTTCCTTGGGGCGGGGGCGGGGGGGAGGAGGGTAGCATTACTTGGGCCTTAAAGGAGGCCAGGGAGGTCAGGAGGGGGGATTGAGGGGGGGCCTTCCAGGCCTGGGGGGACAGAAAAAGAAAATGCCCAGGGCCACGAGATGGAGGCTGGGGGCACTGGCTGGAAGGGGGGGGCAGGGAGTGAGGTATAAGGAGCCTGGAAAGGTGGGAGCTGCCAGGTTAGGAAGGTCTGACCTTCAAGGCCAAACAGAGGGTTTTATATTTGCTCCTGGAGGCCACAGGGAGCCCCGGAAGTTATTGAGTAGGGAGGGACACAGTCACTGGCTGAATGGAGATGGACTGGAGAGGGGAGACCTTTCGGCAGGCAGACCCCCAATTCAGGGTGAGGGGAGGAGGGGGCTTCGAAGATGGTCCAGTTCAGCCCTTTCAGCGTCTCAGAGCTAGCTCGGGGCAGGCTGGGCCTGGAGCCCAAACCTCTGCCTGCCCGCCCATGGCCCATTCCGTTCTTCCATCCAGATCCATGTTTCTAGCTCACTCTTCAGACTTTGCACAGGACTGACTGGCCAACTCTGTGAGATGGCTGGAGCAAGGATGATCATTTCCATTTTACAGACAGAGAAACTGAGGCTCAGAGAGACCTACACTGATGCCCACAACACCTCCCTCATCCTTGAAAGGTGAGGGTTCAAGGATTAAAGAGAGAGGGAAGAGAATGAATATGTATATAGCTCCTACTACATGCCTGACAACCCTGGGAGGTAGGTACTGTTATTATCCCCATTTTACAGATGGCAAAACTGAGGCAAGGAGAGATCAAGTGGCTTGCCCAAGGTTACACAGCTAGTAAGTGTCTAAGGCTGGATTTGAACACAAGTCTTCCTGGCTCCAGGCTCAGGGCTCTGGCTACTACACCACTTTGCTGCCTAGAGAGGGCCAATGAGTCCCAAGGGGAAGGGGAGGTAGAGGCAGAACAGCTCCCTGGGGCCACTGAGGATCCCCCACAACCTCAGAGAAGGAAAGGCACCTGATCAAGGCAGGAAGGAATCCTTTCTCCAATGCTGCCTGGCAGCTTCAGGCTGAGATGTCATGTGACGCCAGGAATGGGGAAACCAGTCAGACAGCAGGAGCCCCTCCCTCCCTCTAAAACGTCAGAGCCTAAATAAATAAACAAACAAACAGACAGATAGATAGGTAGATAAATAAATGAACAAATGAATGAATGAATAAAGAAATAAATGAATGAATAAGCGAACAAATGAAGGAACAAATGAATGAATGAATAAGCAAATAAATGAATGAATGAATGAACAAATAAATAAATAACTGAATAAATAAATAGATAAATAGATTATGCAATCATCAGAGCTGCCCTTTGCTTTCCCTCGAGCCCTCCCGGGCTGTGGTCCCAGGATTCCCATACCACCAGGGATGGTTCTTCTCACAGGCTCACAAATTCAGGGCTGGAAGGGATCTTGGAGATCATCAGATTCAACTCGATTTTACAGTGAGCAAACCATGGGCCCAAGAGAAGAGACTGGCCCACTAGTAAGTGCCCGGGGCTTCCTGACTCCAGGTCTGGTACTCTCTCCATTACACAATCACCTCTTTCTGCCACCACGCTTGGCTCTCCCTGGTGACATCCCTGCTTGTACCCTTTCCCTGTCTCTTCTGCCACCACCTAGCTTGGTTTGGAGGTGTCAGTCCTAGCCCTGAGTGATGGTGGAGGGAGCAGTGGGGACAACGGAATGTCCCTCTTATCTTGGGTGAGGCTTTATCCTAAACTCAGAGGGCCTAATAGGCCCTCAACAAGAACTAGGTCAGACTAATTCTTTGGTTCATTATTTAATTTAATTTTTGTTTCAATGAGCATATTTCATTGATTTTCTCTCTCTCCCATCCTCCCATTGGGAAAAAACAGAAAAGGAAAACTAAATCCTTGTAACAAAAGGCCTGGCTAAGTAAAACAAATCCCAGTGTTCACCATACCCACACATGTGCTCTCCTCCTGCACCCTGAGCCTGTGCCTTGTGTCAGGAGGTGGTCAGCACTCTTCAGCAGCAGAGCCCCTGGAGAAAGGGCTAGCCACCTTGCCTCAGCTGCTGGCCCAGCAACAGACTTTACTTGGATCTCCAGACCTGCCTTCTGGCCAGCTGGGATTCTTGGGAAGATTGTCCTTGCTTGGAACTAAAGGCAAAACACAGACAACATAATTACAATGGGATTTGGGGAGGGGGCTCTTAGTTCTGGGCCAAGTGAAGCAAATCTATCCCCCTTCCCCATGACAGACCTAGAAAGCAGCCAGGCCCTGCCCTAGGCTTCTGTTCTCCAGACCAAACATTCCCATTGATCTTCCTAAGACAAGGCCTCCAGTCCTTCCACTACCCTGGTTGGTCACCTTCCTCTGGCCACAACTGAGTTTGTCAGTGTCTTTCCTGGATGTTGGTAGGCCCAGAACTGAAGACGGTGGTCCTGAGGGATGCCAGGTCCCTGTTACATTCCAGCAATGCTGTGTGAATGAGTGAGTGAATGAATGAATGAATGAATATCCTGGCTGTGTGGAAAAGCTTTCATTAATCACACACTTGTAAGGGAACACAGCTATTGAGTGAGGGGAATTCTAGATGCATCTGAGCCATCTTCTCACCCTAAGGTTGGGCAAGAGAGGCCTCCTTCCTGCCCTCACCCCCAACCATTTGGCAAGGGTAGCATTGGCAAAGGCAGAAGAAGCTGTGTTGGTGGGAGGGCACACCTGTTTGCAGGCCCTAGACCGGAGCTGGGGAGGAGGCCCAGGTGGGGCAGGCAGGACCTAGATCAGGTGGCAGTGAGACTACGGGGGAGATCTGGTTCCCACTAACAAAGGGCCAGTGAGGTGGGGCAGGTGAATAAAACATGAGAGGGCCTGGTGCTGGGCTGGGCCTGAGGCAAATTGACCTCATTCTGTCCCAGCCTTGAGGAGCAGGAGCCTAGGCTGGTGAGAGGGGCTGGGCTTGGAGGGCTGAGGACCTTGACCCTAGGAAGGGAGAGTAAGGGGAGCATGGGAAGGGCCTGGATAGTCATTGTGGGAACCAAAGACTGTCTGTGAGCATGGGGTTAGGGGAGCTGCCTGAAGAAGGAGGCAGAAGGAAGCCGCAGGGGTGGTCAGGCCTCAGTTAAGGTGAGAGGCTGGTTGGAATTGTGACATGTAACCAAGGCAGGATTGCACTCTGACCATGGGGTCCTTCCAGGCCATAGGGAGGGTAAGAGGGAGCCCCAACACTGCACCTATTCCTCCTCCTTCCTGCACCTCTCCCAGCACAGCCTCTCACCCTGCCCCCACTGGGGCCTAGCCACACGTCCAGGGCTAGGACTTTGCAGCCTAGCCAGTGGAGAAGCTGGCTGAGGTCAAAGAATGAGCCAGGATTCAAGTCCAGTTGGAATCTTCCTGAGGGGCCCAGGAAGTTGGGGGCGGGGCTCTGGAGAGTTTCTGAGTTTCTTGGAGCAGGTGGGATAGATAATTAGAGATTAGAGGGGTTTCCCTTCCCAGGCTCCAGCAGGCACCTCCTGGAACCCAAGCCACAAGGCAAGAATGAGGAGGGAGGGAGGACAGGGAGACAGCAGACCTGTCTGAGGCCCTGGGGGGCCCAGGCTCAGGCTTAGGCCAGGCAGCTGGGGAGAAGCTGTGCGGGGAGGCTCAGGGCTACGGAAAGCGGGGAAGTCCGTTGAGTTCCGTGTACCTTCCTTTCCAGGGGGCTCCCCAGAGCATCAAAGGTCAAGGGAAGCATTGTGCTCCAAAGCCAGGCCCAGCTGGGGAGCTCATGGCTCAGCCTCAGGACCACCACTTAAGGGCTCCTGAGGAAGACCCTGGACCCAGCCGGGCACTGGCCAGCCTGGGACACCAGGAACCAGGGACCAAGGGGAAACTGAGTGCTAGCCCCTCCCCCAACTCTGCAGAACATGGGCTCCAGGGCTCCGAAGAGCTTGTTGCCCAGATCGAGGCTGCCTATGGGCCGGTAAGGGCCTCAGGACCGCAGAGGAGGCTTTGGGCCCACGTCTGCAGGACCCCACTATGAGCAGCCTTCCCAGATGGAGGCCGGAAATGGCTAAGGGCTGTTGGAGGGCCCTCCCAGGGATGGAGATCCCTTCTCTTCCCCATAACTGCCCAGGCTTTGGGAAGCTGGGCTGGGGAGGAGGTGGGGGTGGGAGAGAGGAGAGTTGGAGGCTCTCTGCAGCTCCAGGGCAAGGCCTATTGCCAAAAAGAGACAAAGGAGGCAAAGGGCCCCTTGTTTCAGGAAACCCTCATTGTTGATGGTTCCCAGCCCCCAGAAAGTCATCTCACTCCCCAGCCCCCTGGAACTGGCTGCCTCCATCCAAGAGACAGCCCCCAGCTCTGGGGGAGACAAATCTCCATAGATTGAAGAGAGATTAAGGATGGAGCAGAATGGATAAGGGGGGAGGGGATTCTGGAGGAGGAAAGCCCCTGGGGGGGCACCCCAGCGAGCAGAGGCTTCTGGGGAACAGGGACCCCAGCCTGCTCCCCCAGGGCAGGTTTGTCCCCCTCCACTTGAAGACAGAGATAATCCCGGGATTAGGGCCCCAGCCCTGTGCCTAGGGCCTGGTGCCACCCACCTGCCCCCAATCTTCCCAAACAAAACCCTGGGAAATCTCCTAAAGCCCTCACAACCAGGGAGCTGGGGACACCGGAGGGGACAAGCTGAGTTCACTGGACCCAACTGGCCGGGGAGGGTGGGGAGGCCAGACCAGCTTGGCCTGGGCTAGACCCGCCAGCTCTCCGACCTCCTCTCGGGACCCCAGGCCTGGCATGGTTCAGGAACTCATGGGAAATTGTACCAAACGGCCCAGGCGCAGGGCGCTCCAGGTATGGGAGGGGAGACTGGGGAGATGGATGTGGAGGGAGGGCCAGGCCGAGGCGATGAGGGTGAGAGGTGGCATGGGGCAGGGTAGCATCAGAATAGGCTGTGGGAGAGGCACAGGGCAGGAGGGAGCTAGAGGGGCTGAGTGAGGGGTGGGAGGTAAGGAATAGAGTGGGGGGCAGATTGGCATGGTAGGGCAGTGTGCCTTCATGACAGAGGTCCAATGGTGGCAATCAAGGCCCTGTCTGGATTTCCTCCCCAGTAAACTAAAGGCTCTTCTGGGCCTGATGTCCTAAGGTCCTTTCTGGCAGTGGCATTCTGTTCTGTGTTCTAAAGTCCTGCCCCAGCTTCACTCACTATGTTTTAAGATACTCTGTTCTAAGATCCCTGACATATTCCCCGCTCCAAGGTCCCTCCTACCTCTGATTCTCTGTTCTAAGATCCCTGATGCTTTCTGTGTTCTGAGGTCCCTCCTAGCTCTGATACTCTGTTCTAAGATCCCTGACACATTCCATGTTCCAAAGTCCCTTCTACCTCGGATATTCTATGTTCTATGGAGTTGCTGAATCCCCAAGGGGCTAAGCCTGGGTACAATTATAAATAGATTTCCCCACTCTACCCCAGCTTCACTCGCTCCTGCCCAGTCCCTGCATTTCCTGGGTCTGCAGAGAATGCCCCTTGCCTCTGATCTCCACATCCCTCCACCCTGGTCTCCAATGTCAACATGTCCATTGGATGCCCACCCTTCTTGTGGCCTGCTCTAGGCTCTCCCTGGTTGGCAACTGATTTGACATAGGAAAGAGCTGGCCTTCCTTCCCCTCCCTGATGACATAGGTAACATTTTTTAGCACGTGCTAGAGTTGGGCAAGAGTGACTAATGCCCAGACCCAGGGCCAGGCCAAGAAGGGCTCCATTTCCGGGCACAGAGGGCCAGCCCAGTGTCCCTCAGATCATGCCTTGTAGGGGCTCCTATTCCAAATAAGTGGGGGGCAAACCAGCCCTTGACAGCGCCCCCCTCCAGACCCTCTCATTCCCTGCTTTGCCATAGGACCACTGGCCACGGCTGGGGTCCCCTGAGGGCTCCTGCCGCAGCACAGTCTCAGAGGAGCAGGGAGTGGTTTCTGAGTCACAGTCCCAAGCCTACTCAGTACTTAACCGCCTGGTGGGCCCAGCCTGTATCTTCCTCCGGCCCAGCATCGCAGCCACCCAGATCGTATGTACTGACTGCTTCTCCTAGCCCACCACACGCCCACCCATTTTGTCCTACAGTCTGTGCCCTGCATCTCCCCAAGGCACTGCCCTCTGCCTGACCTTTCTTCTCCCTGACCATTGTCACCAGCTGAGGACTCCGTCCTAGGCTCAAGCCTCTGATAGAACAAGGGGAGGCCTAGGGCACCCAGAAGGAAAAGGGGGGCAGCCAGGAGGGAAAATGATCCAGAGGAATATACTCAGGAGGGACAGAGAGGGGGAGTGAGTGATGAGATGCCCAGGGGGCCAGAGCCCCTGGAGGACAGGACTCAGCGTGATGCTCTGCACATATTTAGTAAAAGCACTTGGCCAAGTGAAGGAAATTTGTTGGAGCGACCCAAGGAAAGAGAAAGCCAGAAGCCCACGATGCCAGAAGATGGGAGCTATGAGGGGAGACAAATGAAGGAAGGGGGAATCTTAAAGGAGGGAGACGCTCATGAAGAACAACATTTGGGAAAGGGGTTTGCCCTGGAGCCGAAGGGCCTGCAGGAAGCTCTGGCCTCCTTCCTGCCCGGGCCCCCAGGGGAGCCAGGGAGCCAGGGAGTGGAGGTTTGGACTCGGTACCTCAAGGTGCAGCATGAAAGCTCAAATACCAAAGGGGGCCCCAGGAGGGATCAGGGACAGGGGTAGACTGAGGCATGAAGGGTTGAGCCGGAGAGAGAGCAAAGGATGGGAAGGGTCCTTTGTGGGGAGGGGGAAGAGGAAAGAAGGGGAGGACAGTGGCCCATGGGAAGCATTCATGTATCACCCGGCTCTATCTCCCTCTCAGGACAGGGAGCTTCGCCCAGAAGAGATAGAAGGTAAAATGGACCGGCCTCTTCCCACAGTCCTCTTGACCATCTCCATCCCTCCCACCTCAGGCTTCCTATTCCTTTAACCCCTCCCTGCCCCTGCTTCAGCTCTAGTTCCTACATCCAGAATTCTTGTAAGTTGGGGCTCAGAGCTGAGGTGGAGGGGGGGAAGTAGTGGGATGGGGACCAGAGGGAAGGACAGGCTAGCAGAGACCTGAAGGGCATCAGGGCTGAGGAGGAAGAATCTGAGAAAAGTCTGAAGGGGGAAGAAGGATCGATATGGGGGGAGGGAAGGGTGGATGCCAGACGGACCTTGGAGGAGATCTGGGAAGGGATGGGAGTGGGGGGGGGGTCACTCACATGGTCCCTCTCCTAGAGCTACAGACCGCTTTCCAGGAGTTTGACCGAGACAGGGATGGCTACATCGGCTACCGCGAGCTGGGGGCCTGCATGCGCACTCTGGGCTACATGCCCACGGAGATGGAGCTCATTGAGATCTCCCAGCAGATCAGTACGTCCCTGGCCCACCTCAAGGGGCCCTCAGGCTTCCCTCCTCCCCATCCCCCCCTCCAGGGACTCCCTGAAGGATGGAGCTCTGGGGGCAGCCCATGCAATGCTCAGCCCTGGGAGTCAGAGCTAGGCAAGCCCTTTGGACCAAGGCTTCATGCCTCTTCTTTTTAAGGCCTTTGGTCCATCTTTCAATTTCCCTTCAAACCCTCCGTGGTGGGGAGGGTACCAATCCAAGGGTGAACATGGATGTTGCCTGGGTCAGGGAGGGAGTGCCCAAAGAGCCTGCACATGTCAAAGACAGCCACTAGGTGGCGTCATGGATAAAGCACAAGACCGTTGGTCAGGAAGACCTGAGTGAAGACGCTTCCGAGCTCTTGACCCTCGGCGGTCTGTCTCTTTTCCTCACCTGCAAAATAAGAAGATAGTGTCACCTACCCTTCGGGGTTGCTGTGAGGATAAAAGGAGATGTTTGTAAAGTACTTTGCAAACCTTAAAAAATGCTAGCTATTATTATTTTTATTATATTGACTCCAAAGCCAGCCCTCTATGCATTATACCACACTGCCTCAGGATCAGATTAGAAACCACAAACATATTTATATCTCTGCAGTAAGCATTTATTAAGTGTCTGCCACACACGGGCCAGGCAGCACGAGTAATGAACAGATGGCTGGGAGGTCAGGAAGCCCTGCATTCAAGTCCTGATACACCTTGGCTATATGGCTCTGGGCCCATCACACAACCTCTCAATGTCCCACAGTCGATTTAAAGTGTGTGGGGGGGGAACTAGCAGCTAGAAAGGCCCCCCCCACCCTGTGCTGAGCCTCAAAAGGAAGAGGAAGGGAGGAAGAATAACATGCCAGGTCTAGGGGACAGCCCCTACAAATGACTTCCTCTAGATGGTTTTTTTGGAGAGGAGGAGGGCACAGGATGGAGGGGTCCTGGGGTAGGTCAGAGTAGGAGAAAGGAGTTTATCTAAGTCATAGCTGGGAGCTGGGGGGCCCAGCTCTCTGCCTGCCTTGGATGCTAGGTGGTGGGAAGGTGGACTTTGAAGACTTCGTAGAGCTGATGGGCCCCAAAATGCTGGCAGAAACCGCAGACATGATTGGAGTCAGGGAGCTGCGGGACGCCTTTCGGGAGGTGAGGCCAGGCAGCTCTGGGGCCATGGGGCTGGGGCCAGGTATGGCCTGGGGTAGGGACTGCTTGGGAGGGGACGGTTCCTCAGCTGAGGACATTCTTCCTGGGGGTTTCCCCAGTTTGACACCAATGGAGATGGCAAGATCAGTCTGGGAGAGCTCCGTGCAGCCCTAAAGGCCCTGCTGGGAGAGCGACTCAGCCAGCGGGAGGTGGATGAGATCCTGCATGACATTGACCTCAATGGGGACGGACTTGTTGACTTTGAAGGTACCACCTGGGCCCGGATGCCCCTCCTAGCCTTCCCAGCAATCTCCTGGAAAAGAAAACCCCCCTTACCCCCAGCCTGGCTGGCAGCACCCTTAGAGGCTACCTAGGCCAAGCCTCTTACTGTGGGGAGGGGGAAACCAAGATCCCAAGAAAAGCAGGAAGCACTTGACCACCATCTCCCAAGTCAGCTCCAGGGCCCAAGTCTCTGCTTTCTACTTAGCTCCCTCCCAACCCCAAAGCTAAGCTGGACGGGTTCCAGCCTAGTCGGGCACATAGGTCCTCCGTGCCCAGTTTGGTGGGAGACTTCCCCCAGGTCAGAGTCAAACATTTAGATTAGGCCCAGAACCTCCCAAAGTGGGAAGCTGAGGACCCTGATCCTACAGAGTTTGTACGGATGATGTCCCGCTGACTTGACCCTCCAGCATGCGTGTGAAGAGACTCGAGCCCTGGAATGCCAGCTCAGCCACAACCCTAGGGGTCATCCAGTTCCACTCCTGGGCTGCCCATCCAGAAGCCTCCTCTCCCCCTACCATCACCTCCCCTTCCCCTTTAAGCTGTGGGTCTATGTGTAAGGTTCCCTGATTTCTCCCTCTCTAGCCTCTGGTCTCTACCCACTCCCTACAAGCCTTCTCCCAAAGTCCCTCTGCCCTGGTGGGCCTGTGTGTGCCCCTCCCCAGCCCTGTCCTCATCCTTAATAATAATAAAGTTTCTGGATGTCTGACCACAAGGGACTTTTGCTCCCTCTTTGCAGACTGAATGCTTGAAGCTTTATCTGGGAAAGATTTGAGTGACGTCTAGGACCAAAAGTGACCTTTAACAAATGTTCTTGCATTGACTCTACCCCTTGCTGGGTTACTACTGCGTAACCAGGTTCTGGCTGCCCGGAACCTAGCACCCGTGGCAGGAGACCTTGCAGGTGGAGAAGGAGCCTCAGTGCTGCCTTTGGGATTGAGCTCAGAGGAGACACACTCTTGGCCCTGCACTTCTCAAGTTCAGAACAAGATAGGGGTGCCATTACAACTGCCTCTTGTCTATAAAGCGGGTTGTAGCGCCTTGTCTTAATTAACATTTATGAAGCACCTACTATGTGCAAAACAGGGATGGAAAGATTCCATAATCTAAGGCTCTTGTCCTCATAAAAACTAGAATCTACTTGAGGGGAACAGAATAGAAATACAGGTGCTTCAAAGTATAGAAGGTAAGAGCCATAAGGGTTATTGGTTCCAAGCAGTAAACAAGAAATGTTTAATGGAGTTTCTCTCCAGAGCTGCACCTTGAAGGACAGGCAGGATTTTGATAACTGAGAAAAGGACATTTCAGGTTAACCCAAAGGATAAAACCAGGAAGCAAGCTTGAAAGATGGCCAGCCTTCAGTTTGCCTGGAGGGGAGGTATGTAAAAGTGAGTCCACCTATTCAGGTGGGTTCTAAAAGGGCTCTGAATGCCAGGATTGAGTTTGGACCATATGTGGAAGGTTGGGCATGTGCAGGTTTGGAGAAGGAAAGACTGGACGCCAGAAGACCATTTGGGAGGCTAAAGCCATCATTTAAGAAAGAAGATGGGGAAGGCCTGAATGAAGGTGGTGGTCCTGGGAGTGAAAAGAACAGGATGAATGAAAATGACCTTTTCAAGATGGCGGGTCCAGCCACGCCTAGAAGACACCCTTCCCATCCTGCCTCACTTATAACGTGGCCTCATCTTCCTCCCCTCTACCAATCATGGAGCGGTCAAGCAGAAGGTGCCAGTGCTGGCCAGGGTGGACTCTAGTGTCACTCACTCACTCTAGAAAATCCCAATTAATCCTTAATCCTCCTTAATTAGGAGATTTCTCCCAACAATCTGCAGTATTGGGGCAGTATACAAGGGCCATAGGTATTTGGGCTGAAGTTCCTCCAGGACCTCTCAATCATTTCTCCCTCCAAGAGTGAGCACAGCCCAGGAAGGGCCTTCTGACAGACCTGGGGATGCTGAGGACAGGGACAAAGTCAACTCTGAATTATCTGTTCGCAAAGAGGACAGGTGAAGTGAGTTTGGAGTAGGAAGGGGCCCCCGAGCACAAGGGTTATTATACTCCTTTCTATAATCCCCCCTCCCCAGTGCTTATAAGGACACACACACACTCCTCTCTCCAAGGCCTCCTTGTCCAGAAAGAAGCTAAGAAAAATCCAGAGACCAGGAGAAGGTGGGAAGTGGGAAGATCCATAGGATCTTCCATAGTGCTCATAGGACTTCAGAGCTGGAAGGTAGAAGGGACCCTGGAATTCATCTAGGACAGTCTCTTTTTTCCAGATTTGGAACTTGAGCCCCCAAAAGGGGAAATGACTTGCCCAAGGTGACAAGGCTAAATTAGGGAGAAGCGAGACAGGAAGCTGGGGATCCTGACTCCCAGGCCCTTGCTGCTCCCACCAGGCCAAGCTGCAGAAATGGGAAGTAATGAGGAACATGACCCAGATGGAAACTTAGAAACAGGAAGAAATTCTAAGTTGCTTCAAAGAACGCCACAGGAGGACGTAGGACGAGCAGGCAGGCTCCCTGGAGCTGACACCATGAAGCCTCCATTGGGGACTCCCCTCCAAACCAATCCAACCAGCTTCCATTAATCAACGCTCTTGGATCAGGAAAGGCTCTGCTCACTGGGCAGGGGTGCCCCGCCCTCCACCTGCCCCCCTACTTCCTCCATCAGTGGGAAGCTGATCCCCGGTCTGGCCCCCATTGCTCAGACCGAAAAAAACAAACCAGATGCCAGTGTTAAAGTTATTAATCCTCCCAAAGCTCACACTGTGGTGGGAAGTGGGGTACTTGGGGGTGGGAGAACACCCAGGGTCCACTCCAGGGAGCCATTTCCTTCCCCACTGCCCCTCCACACTTCAAACACCCCCCACCCCAGACCCGGCCTGGGAGAAGCCAAACTCCTCAGAGCCAGTTCCCACCCTGGAACACACTTCTGCACTCACTTCCTGCTCAGAAAACTGTAGCCTAGGGCACTACCATCCCCTCTGGGAAGGGCCCAGCAATAGACATCCCTTTTGTTCAATCAATCAGGTGCTTAGTCAAAGCCTGCTACTTGCTAATAAATCCTGGGGATAGAAAGGCAAGAACACAGCCCTCCTCTCAAAGAGTTCACATCAAATGGGCCACACGAGGCAGGAATGATGCACAAACAAGGTACAGAGTAAATGACCCGGGAGGCAAAGGGGGCAGGGAAGCTGCAGGGAAGGGGCTGCGGACGGGGCACAGCCAGGAAAAAGGAGTGCCTAGAAAGCCGGGGAGGGGGAGCATAAGGGTATGCAGAGGGTGGCGAAGCGCAAAAAGACTGAAAAGGCAGGAAGAGGCTTAAATGTCGAACGGAGCATTTTCTATTTCATCCTAGAATAGGAAGCCACTAGGGTGTATGGGGGGCAGCTGGGTGCTGTTAGTGCACAGAACTGCTGGGCCTGGAGTCAGGAAGACTTATCTTCGTGAGTTCAAATCTGGCCTTAGACACTTCCTACCTGTGTGACCCTGGGCAAGTCACTTCACCCTGTTTGCCTCAGTTTCCTCCTCTGTAAAAGGAGCTGGAGAAGGAAATGGCAAACCAGGCCAGCATCTCTGCCAAGAAAATCCCAAATGGGGCCACAGAGAGTCGGACACAACTAAAAATGACTGGACAACAACAATCACCCAGTTTACTGAGGAGGATGCCACTTCCGGAAAGTGGCTTTGGCAGCTGGCTGTCAGAGGTCACAGCAGTAAGATGCTTGAAGCAGACTCACAGAAGGCTACTGAACCAGTCCAGGCAAGAGGTGATGAAGACCAGGAAGGCCCAGGGTGGAGTGAGTGGGGAGAAGAGGACACACAGAAAAGACGTTGTGAAGGCAGAGCCCACCGGGTTCTATCTGGGACTTGAGAGTGAAGAGTCAAGGCTGAGAGCCTGGGTGAACCGGAAGTGGAAAGGTGGGAAGAGGGGAAGGGTCTGGGGGGAAGACCCCGAGCTGGACATGCCTACAGGAGATCTGGTTCAAGATGGCTCAGAAGAGAGACTGAAGCTGGATGTATAGATGGAGAGGACGGCGGAACCCTTGACAACTGGTAAGATCCCCAAGTGACAGGACAGAGAGAGAAGAGGCCTCAGCACAGTCTCCAGGGACACCCAGACTGGGGAGAGAGCAATGGCATGAAAACCTGCAGCGACCCGAAGGCTGGTGCTTAATAAAGGCTTGTTCATTGATTGGGGGGGTCTGCTGTGGTGGATGCGGGGGGAGCTTCCTGGGGAGGGGCAACAATGGCGGAGGGGATTGGGAAGGGGATAAGCGGAGGACTCCACTGATTAGTATATGCGGGGGTAAGGAAGAAGGTCTCCAATGGGAGAAAAGATGGACGAGGGCCCTGCGGAAGAAAAGGGGGGGAGGGAGTGGTCTGCTGGTGGGGGGAGGGTCGCTTGAAGGAGGAGGGGGGCAGTCTCCTGAAGTGGAATGAAGATGGAGGTCAAAGAAGGGGTGCTTCTAGGGAGAAAAGGAGGAAGATCTCCTGGGAGAGATAAAGAATTCTCCAAGGGAGAATAAAGAGAATAAAGAGTCTGGGGCGGGGGAAGGATAAGGATGAGGACCTGATTGAAAATAAATAAGGGTACACTGGGGGAAAAGGAGGAGGGTCTTCTGGAGGAGGAGGAGGAGGAGGGGGTCATCTCCAGGGGGACAAAGAGGGGTAGCCTCCTGGGAGAGAAAAGGGGGGCCTCTTGGGAAGGGACAAAAAGCAGGGTCTCCTGGAAGGGGTGCGGTGTCTCCAGGCGGGAACGCGGGGCTCCTAGGGGGTAAGCCGAGGGGGGGGGTCCCCTGGGAGAGTCCAAGGAGATGGGGGTTTCCTGAAGCGGGGCGTCTCCGGGGAGGGGTCTTCAAGAAGTAGACGAGGAAGAGCATTGCCTCGGGGAAGCACTGAAGGGGCGCCTTCTGAGGAAGCCAAGGAAACGGGGTCTCCAGGGCGAGAGAGGACGGTTCGGCGGGGCGGTTGCCACGGAGACGGGGTGGAGCCTCGAGGGCGTGCGGGCCAGGAGGGGCGGGACCGCGCGCGATGACGCTTCTGCGTCGGGGCGGGGCGCGACCTGACGTCACAGCCTCGCGCCCAGTAGTGTCCGAAGAGGGAGAGCGGCGGCGCGCGTCTCCGGCGACTCCGGCGGCTGCCCCAGAGTGCGAGGCGGCTCGGCCCCGGAGGCGGCGCGGGCAGCGGCGCGAGCTCGCCGAAGGAAGCACGAGCGGTGCGGCATAAGCGGTCGGAAGCAGGGCGCGTGCGGCCGAGCCTCGTCGAACGGACCCTTCAGCGCGAGCCGAGGCGGCCCGACACCGGAGACTCCTTTCCCGGTGCCAGCCGGCCCCGCCCTCCTGCCTCCCGGGCCAATCGGGCTGGGAGCGCGCTAGCCTGCCTCCCCGAACCCTCCAATCGCAGGCGTCGTCCTCCGCCCGCCAATCCTGGTCAGACAGGTGCGAAGCCCGACGCGACGAGGGCCAATCAGCAGCAGGTCCGGGCCGGGACTCTTGGCCAATGAGAAGGCGGCCTGGGAGCGTCGAGTGACGTGCGCCCCCACCAATCGCAAGTGCGAGCCGCGGGCTCTTCCTGGCGGTGCGCCTATCAGAGCGCGCGCTCCTCAGCGACTCGGCCAATCCGGAGGAGAATCGACTGGTGCCTACCCTCCCGAAGAGTTGGGAATGTCCTACAAACCCATCGCTCCAGCGCCGACCAGCACAAGCGGCTCCACTGCGCAGGGGCCCGGCACTCCCATCCCTTCAGGTGAGCCGAGAGCCAGTGGACGGACGGGGAAACTGAGGCACTGGGCGGGGAGACAGGGGGCGGGGACAGACGCCTGCCCGCCCAGGTCTGAGCCCTGGCGCGCCGCGTGCTGAGGTCCGAGCTCTGACGTGCTGGGCTCTGGGTTCTGAGCCCTCCGCCTCCAGTCTCTGATGTGCTGTGTTCTAAGTCCTGAGCCCCTCCCCCTCCAAGTTCTGGCTCCAAGCACGGCCTAGGTCTGACTCGTGCGCTCTAAGTTCTCCTGGCCCCAAACGCTGACTTGCCATCATGTTCTAGGTTCTGAGCGTGCTCCCCCAAGCTGGCATGCCGTGTTCTAGGTCCCGCCCCCACTCAGCCCCGTCTGCCTTGCACATTCTAAGTTCCAGAAACCCCAAACTCTTATGACTTGTGGCATTCTAAGTTCTGAGCCCGCTTAGTTCTGGCATGCCATATTCTAGGTCCCAACCGTGATTTACACATTCTGAGTTCTAATGCCCCCAAACTCTGATGTGCCATGTTCTAGATTCTGAACCCCCAACTCTGACACCACATTCTAGGGTTCTGGAGATCCCCTCCCCCCCCAGCTCTTATGTGCCACTTTCTAGGTCCCAAGCCCATCCTCTCCTGCTTCTGGCATGCCTCTTTGTAGGTTCTAAAGCCCCAAGGTCTGACTTGCACATTCTAAAGTTCTAGTAACCCCAGACTCTGCCATATTCTAGGTTCTTAGCCCCCACTGCCACGTGCTACCTTGTAGCTTCTAAGCCCCCCCATCTGACCTGTATATTCTAGGTTCTAGTCCCTCTACACGCCATATTTTTGGCTCTAAGACCCCTCCCAACTCCAAATGTTCTGTGTTCTCTTGTCCCTTGGGGCTCTGGCGTTCTGTGTTCATTTTGGACAGTGACCCGCTAGTTCTCATCATCCCGAGTTCTTTAAACTGCGGCCGGAGAGGGTTAAGATGAGGCAGTTTCGGGGAGCAGCAGCAGGAGGAAAGGGGCAGTTGGTGCAGAGTAACAGGAACCCTAACGAAGAGGTGATTTGGAGCCTCCTAGCTCTAGAGAGCGGCTGGGTGGTACAGTGGTTAGAGCACCAGGCCTGCAGTCAGGAAGACTTCCCTTCCTGAGTTCCAGTCCGCCTCAGACACTAGCTGTGTGACCCTGTTAGCCTCAGTTTCCTCATCTGTCAAATGAGCTGGAGAAGGAAATGGCAAACCACTGCAGTGAAAGCCCTAGAAGGGGTCACAGGCTGAAAAACGACTCCACCATGCTAAGCTCAGGAGAGGAGAAAAGCAGCATGGACAGTACCTCCCTCTTTTCTTTGCAAAGTGCTGAACGCTGGATGTTCTGTCCTGCGCAATCATGGTGCCCCTTGGTTTGGTTTTTTTATCTTTGTGACAAGGCGGGGGGGGGGGGGAAGATCAGGTGCAGGCCGTTACATGAAAAAAAAAAGGCATCAGTATAATTGAGGGGTGCTTGTCTATCAGTCTGTCAGTAAACACTGTGCGAAGGGCGGGGGTTACAAAGGCAGACCATACAGGTCCAGGCCTGGAGAAGTGACGTGCAAACCAGATCCACAGAGGACATGTTGGAGGCAGTGGCAGAGGGAAGGCTGGGCCCAGAGTTCAGACTTCTGCTCCCGGGGGGCCTGAGGAAGCCTCCTGGTAATGACTTCCTTGTTCCCCATCCTCTGCAGCCACGAGTGTCCCCTCCCCCTCGGGCTCAGTCCCTGGAGCCGCTGCCCCCTTCCGCCCCCTCTTCAATGACTTCGGGCCTCCTTCCATGGGTTATGTGCAGGTGAGTGGCTGAGAGAGGGGGGCTGGGGGCTGGGGGCGGGCCAAGGTTCCCACCAGCTCTCTTCTTCCAGGCTATGAAGCCCCCTGGCTCCCAGGGCTCCCAGAGCACCTATACAGACCTGCTGTCTGTCATTGAAGAGATGGGTAAGGAGATCCGGCCCACCTACGCTGGCAGCAAGAGCGCCATGGAGCGACTGAAGCGAGGTGTGCAGCACCCCACTCCCGTTGGGACACAAGGAATACGACCACTGGGCTGGGCTGGGCTGTCCCATCCCATCCCAGACTGCCCTCCAGTAAATCTCTTTTCCTTCTCTAGGCATTATCCACGCCCGGGCGCTGGTCAGAGAGTGCCTGGCAGAGACAGAGCGCAACGCCCGCACGTAACAGCGTGCCGCCCCCTCTGCCCTATGGACCTTCCCACCTCTTTGCATCGCCTTTTGGAGCAGAGCCCCTCCCCTCGTGCCCTTCTTTTCTTCCTGACCTCCCATCCTGTGACCGACAGCCACACGGGATGGGATGGGAGACCCTGGAGCCAGTGCCAGGCAGAAACAGTGGAGCTGATGCCTCTAGGCCTCCCTCGGTCGCCCTGTAGCCAGTGGGTGCTGGAGAGTCCTTGGTCCAGGCCGTCCTCCCCACCCCCAGCGCAGCACTGACCTTCGGCCCCCATCCCCCTTTGTCCCACGCTGGAACTCCTCCCTCTTCTGGCTGGGGCCTCCCTGGCACCCACCACCTCCCAGCCCTGCCTCTGGGCTGTTCGAGGTGGTGCCTTTTCTCAGCGTCTTTTACTAAAATGCTCTTTTTCTATAAATAAAGGGAGATTTGGAGTTGTTCTCTGCAGACATCGCTGGCTGGCTATGGGCCTGCAGGGCCAGAGGGGAACTGGCCAAGGTCAGGGTGGACAGGGGCCCCAAGGGAAGTCGCCATGCATTCAACATGTCCACATCATGGGTGAGGTTCTGTGATCTGCCATCCTTCCTGGACACTCCAAGATGGAAGGGGCATTGGGGATGAGCCTGTGAAAACTTAGGTTTGGGGTCAGAGGACTTGGGTTCAAATTCCAGCTCTCTCTCACTGACCACCTGGATGACCATGGTCATCCTCCCTTCTCAGAAGCTATTTCCTTGTCTGTAAAATGGGAGGGTGGGCTAGATGGTCCTATTGAGTAACAGACCTCGATGTGTCCCTATGGTCCCTGAGCCCAAAAGAGGTCAGGGAGTGGCGGGCTGCATGGCCTTAGAGACTGCAGAGTCCTGGCCCTGCCTCCTCATTTGAGAGAGATGCCATTCCAGCTCCTGGCCTGCCCCAGGGCAAGGTCCCAGGGTGGAGCTGGGTAGGGCCCTCTGCACAGCCAAGCTGAAAGTCCCTCAGCCAGTTTCCCTTTGCCCAGCTTGGGCCCCCTTGGAAGACAGAAGTACTAGGGAGGGTCATGGGCCTCCAAAATGCTTCTGATTGGCAGGGTTGTTGCAAGAGGAGAGTCCTTGCATAGCCCCCCACATCCTGGCCACAGGATGGGCCTGGCAGGTTGGCAGTGCTATCAGAAAGATGCAGCCCAGGCCTTTGGTCACTCCCCAGGGAGCCTGGCTCCTGCTAGGTCTGTGTCTCCGGGTGATTGACAGCTGGGCTGTCTAGCCACTCTGGCTGAGAGCCTGAAGGGCCCAGCTCTGAGACCATAAGGCAGGTTTGGGCACTTCCCCTTCTGTGCTTCATGGTGGGGAAGGGGACGGTGGGTCAGAGGCATGGCTGACACCCTTCCTTTCCAGGGCCCTGGCAGAGAAATCAGGCTCTCAGCCCAGTCACTGGGGCATCTGTTAGATCCGGAGAGAGGCACTGGGGTGTGAATAGAGAGAAGAGGAGTGGAGGGCCAGAGGTGCACACATGTGGGCCTAGATGGGGAATGGGAATGAGCTAAGGATGTGGAGCATTGAGGTGCCCACTCAGCTGCTGGGAAGGGGATGTGTGGGGATGTGTCATTGTTTATTCTGAGAGGCAGATGTCCTCAGAGACCACTGAGCTCAGGCCATTAGAAAAAGGAAATGCCAGAGCAGGAAGGGACCTCAGGTCATTCAGGCCAACAGGGCTCAACTTATAGAAAAATTGGCAGAGGGCAAGTAACTTGGCCGAGGTTCCACAGTTACTCTGACACCTATCACTGGGGGGGGGGCCTGGAAGAAATGTGAAGGGCCGTGGCACAGGGGAGAACAGGAAAGAATCACCAGTCCTCCCATCTAGCTCTGGGGGCCTGGCCCAAGCCAGCCCAGACCACTGGGCCCTACTTCCCCTTCTGGGAGGTTTACAAACCATCGGGGCCCCAGTCTGGCCTCCTACCTCCTTCCGGAAAGAGGATGGGCAGTTAGGCCTGGGCCTTCCCACTGCCAAGACTGGCCTTGGGGGCAGGATCCCAGTGGCTGAGTGGGGAGGGGATATTTCCAGGATCTGGCACCTTAGAGAGGGGTCCAGAAGAGTGAATCCTGGAGGTCCTGAGGGGGGTCTGAGCAGCCAAAGTGCTGCTGGGATGGAGCCTTGCTGGTCCCAAGGAAATTCAGGGGGGACTGGGAGGTAGGATTCAAGAGTGGGGCTGAATCTGAACTGCTCTGCTGGGGGTGGGGAGAAGTTGGGGAAAGGGGAGGGGGTTCTCAAGGGAGCCTCTTCAGAGAACTCTTATCTGCCTGGTGGCCTCACCCAGTAACAGCACGGTGAGAGAAACTGAAGGTTTGAGGCAGAAGGGGCCACCTTGGGAGCAGAGAAGGGTGGAGAGAGGGAGAGAAGACGGGTGTGAAGGGAAGGAGGCATTGGGCATAGGGCATAAAGGGAGCCTGGAACGAGACCAGGCATCAGAGGGAACAGAGGGAGAGAGGTGGGGATTCCCTTCTCCCCTGCCCTTCTCTTCCCATTCCAAGGCCCTCTGGGGAGCAAGATCTGTGCGGGGGGCGGGGGGAATAAGGGAGAGATGGGGGTGGAAAGAATGGGGGTTTGGGAATAATCGTGAGATGTAGGGGCAGGTGGAGAGAAGGAGAGGAGAGATATGATGGCAAGGAAGACGTGACAGGAGAGGAGGATTTGGGGAAAAGGGGAAGAGGAAGATATGGGGAAGGAGGGGGAGGGGATAAGGAGAATAGAGGAGGGATGTTGGAGACAAAGTAAGGGGAGAGAGGGGAGGCATATAGAAAGGGGAAAGGAGGCAGGGGAATATAGAAAGAGACTGGGGAAATGGAGAGGGAGCGCGGTGTTGGGGACTGGAGAAGAGGGACGTGGAGGTGGTGGGGGGAGCTTCAGGGTTGGAGACGACGGCGGGGGGGGGGGATATTTGGGAAGAAGGAAGAGGTTACAGATGTCAGGACCTAGGAGAGGGAAGAGGCGGCAATGGCGGGAGGGGCGGGTGGACGAGGGATGTTGGGGATGAGATGGGGGGTGTTGGAGGGGAAGAGTGTCGGACAGGGTTGGGGGGAGGGGGCCAAGCTGTAGAAGCCGGCGAGGCTGGGGGGAGGGGGGCTGGCATAAGCCGCTGGCTGGCTGGGCTGGCTCTTCTCCCCCAGGGGTGGACGCGTCAGCACTCCGTTGCCGCGGCAACGGGGGGAGGTGGGGGGGCGCGGCGGTGGCGTTTGAAAGGAGGTCAGAGGGAGCTCGGTTTGTGCTCCAGCCTGGGAGCGAGTGAGGCAGGAGGCAGCCGCACCTCCTGCCTCCGGCCTCCTGCGGCAGACCAGCCGCCACCGCTGCTCTCTCCTCTGCCCCATCCCTCCTCCTTCTTCCTTCTCTCCTCCTCCTTCCCTCCTCCCTCTTCCCTCCTCCCTTCTCCCGCCTTCCCGTTCCTCCCTCCTCCTACCTCTCCTCCTCCCTCCTCTCCCCTATCCTGTGCTTGCCGCTCCTAGGCTCCCCTGGCTCCCCTCTCCTCCTCCATGCGGGGGGCGGGCGCGGGGCCGGGGCCGGGCCGAGCGATGGGGTTGGGGGGCTGCGGGGAAGCACAGGGAGGCTGGGGCCAGGGCCGGGCTCCTCCCCGAGCCGGGGGACCGGCCACCCTGAACTCGCCCCAGCCCTGACGGGCGCGCCCCGATCCTGAGCCAGGAGGGGAGGCGAGGCGAGGCAGGCGGGCACCGTCTCTGCTGGCCGGGCAGCGGGCAGGCGGGCACCATGCTGATCAAGGAATACCACATCCTCCTGCCCATGAGCCTGGAAGAGTACCAGGTGGCCCAGCTGTACATGATCCAGGTGGGGGCCCCGGGGAGCTGGCGGGAGGAGGGAGGGCTGGGTGGGAGGGGGCGGCCGAGGGAGGAGGGGGGAAGGGGGCTGGGTTGGCGCTGACGGGGGAGGGGAAGAGCAGGAGGTGGGAAGGAAGCAAAGCACAGGGGGATAGAAATAATGAAGAGGATGACAGGAAAGGGAGGGAGGTGATGGGGAAGGGGAGACCCCAGAGAGAGGCAGAAACGGGGCAGGAGAGCAGGGGAAAGGTGACCGAAGAATGCAGAGCAGCTCTGAGAAGGGGAGGGAAGCACTGAGTGGGGGAGGCAGTGCCAGAGACGAGGGAGGAGAAGGGATGGGGGAGGGGGGGCCGAGGCTGGCATGGAAGCAGGCTGGATGCTGGGGAGGATTGGGGAGGGGGGGGAGCGAGGGACAGCAGTACCCAGGTCACCAGCCCCTGACCTCACCTCCTCGCCTTTCCAGAAGAAGAGCCGAGAAGAGTCCAGTGGCGAGGGCAGCGGGGTGGAAATCTTGGCCAACAGGCCCTATGAGGATGGACCAGGGGGCAGTGGGCAGTACACCCACAAGGTCTACCACGTGGGCTCCCATATCCCTGGGTGGTTCCGGGCCCTGCTGCCCAAGGCTGCCCTGCAGGTGGAAGAGGAGTCCTGGAACGCTTACCCCTACACCAGGACGCGGTGAGGCTCAGGGAAGGGATGGCGGCCCCGGGGGGCACCCTCTGGGACAAGGGGAGGTAGCCTAGGTCCAGCCATGGCTGCTGGGCTGCCGGGGCTCAGTGGGAGCTGGAGGAGGCTTCCCTAGGGGACATTGGGGATGCTGGGCCACAGGCCACGAATGCCGGCAGCCCCGACTCTAAGCCTGGCCCCTGGCCCTCCCGCAGTTACACCTGCCCCTTTGTCGAGAAATTCTCCATTGAAATAGAAACCTACTACCGGCCTGATGGGGGTCAGCAGCCCAACGTCTTCAACCTGAGCGGGGCAGAGAGGAGGCAGCGCATCCTGGGTATGAACTGGGGGAGGGCCTTTCTGGAAGGGCCGGCTGTGTGACCTTGGGCCAGTCCTTCACTTTCTGGGTCTTTGGCCTGGCCCAGTGGAGGCAGAAGTCCCTCCTCGCCCCATGCTAGCTCAGGGGCCTGGGCATCTCCACCCTGCAAAGCACCTGCCAACATCAGTCAGGGAGGGAGTTTCCGCACCAGGAATCCCCCTATGCAGACCCCAAACCCCAAACCCCAAACCCAAATAAGCATAAGGAACATCGGCACACAGTACTTACAGGTCTGGGAGAATGAATGGGAACAAGACAGCGAGAGAAGGGGAAACGGTACCTGGGGTGGGCAGTGTGATGCCGCAGATTCTAATTCTCCGCTGTTCATCAATCCTTAGCCTCCCTAGACCTCAGTTTCCCCATCTGTAAAATGGGGGTTGGATTAAGTGGCTTCAAGCCCTGCTGGGAACCTGGTGGGTGTCCCAGGAGGGCTCTGCCTGGCCTTGCCCCCAGACACCATCGACATCGTCCGGGACGCAGTGGCCCCCGGCGAGTACAAGGCTGAAGAGGACCCGAGGTTGTACCGCTCTGCCAAGACGGGTCGGGGGCCCCTTGGGGATGACTGGGCACGGCTGGCTGCTCAGTCGGGCCCCCTGATG